CATGTATTTATAGGTTTAGTATTAAGGTAGCAGATGGACATTGGGCCTCTACTCAAGTACACCCTCAACGCAAAAACACTTTGTTCTATTAACCTGGCATTCCATGGTGCTTACCGTCCCAACACTATCGCTGAAGACAAAGCGGATGCAAAAGCAAATATGGTGAAGAAAGCTGATGGAGCCCGGCTAACAAAAGATATAGCATCTTGTTATTTTGTAAAAAAAAAAAAAGATATAGCCTCTGGGGTCTTAAAGGCCTAAAGATAAACAAGAGGCCATCTAGCTCAGAAGCAACAAAGCCCACATGGAAGAAGCACACCAGCCTGTGTGATCACGAAGTGTTGATAGGATCAGGTATCAGACATTAAAGACCCAGAACAAAAAATCATATCATTGTGAATGAGAGAGAGTGCGGAGTGGAGACCCCAAAGCCCATCTGTAGGTAACTGGACATCCCCTTACAGAAGGGTCTCGGAGAGGAGACGAGTCAGTCAGGGTGTAGTATAGCATCCACAGGTACACAATGGGTACACGGGTACATCTGGATAAGAGGTGGAAACACAGGGAATCCAGGACAGATAAACCCCTGAGAGTAGCCATACCAGGAGGGGAAGGAGAAGGTGGGGGGAGAAAGGGGAACCGATCACAATGATCTACCTATAGCCCCCTTCCAGGGGGATGGACAACAGAAAAGTTGGTGGAGACATTGGTCAATGTAAGACATGAAAAAATAATAATCTATAAATTATCAAGGGTTCATGAGGGAGGGAAGGTGGGAGAGGGAGGGCAGAAAATGAGGAGGTGATATTAAGGACTCAAATTGAAAGAAACTATTTTGAAAATGATACTGGCAACAAATGTACAAATGTGCTTGACACAATGGATGGATGGATGGATTGTGATAAGAGTTGTACCAGCCCCCAATAAAAGGATTTATTTAAAAAAACAAAAAAGACCTCTTGGACCACCCAAATTCAAACTCTGAGCATCCTCCGACCCAACCTTTTCTATGTGCTCTTCTGCCTTTGCTTGCTCCTTTGCATTGGCTACAACACTCGGAACATCGTTGTGTGTCCCTCAGCTGGGATGTGAGTTCCACAAGGGTAAGAATCCAATTGTTTTGTTCGCTGCTGTATTTCCAGTGCCTGGAGTTGTGCCTGGCACATAACGGGCTCCCAGTAAACCTTTCAAGTTGCATTTAATTAAAACTACTCTACAATGCCATTTGTAGAAGGCTGGCCCACTATTGGCCCACAAGAGATCAGAAAACAATTTCCCTTTCCCTTATTTACCTGTGGGAGGTCTCGCCAGCCAAACCACAAGGCTCTGTCCTAAGCATCCTCTCCTCCACCTTGGCTCCAGAGCTTCTAGGGAGTTTGCCTTGCTCTGATTTGGAGCAAGGTCTGACTCCATAAGGCTGCCTCCCTGTGACACCATCGGCCTCATGGGGACACCAAGCCCAACTGACCTCTAGGCTTCAGCCCTCTGGTCTCCTGGTTTCCTGGGCCTGGAGAGACATAGGGACAGCAACTGGAGTCTCATGAGGCTCTAAACTGAGTCCTCTTTGCTCCTCTGAAGAGGAGGAGCTTCACCCTCCTTTAACCCTCTTCCCATCCTAGGCACCTCCTGGGAACTACCCTGGCCTGCCTCTCTCCCAGGGCAGATCTGGACATGAGCACACAGGTGATCAGGAGAATTTTCCCTTCTCTGAAGATAGCTGAGCCTTCCCTGATACCTCCTCATTAATACCCTTTGGTGACAGAACACTTGTGGCCCACAAAGACCTCCAGCTCCTGTCCCCACCCACTGTGGAGCCAGCCACGTCTCTCCACACTGACTCTGGCCTCTGACTCCCTTTTTCTTGTTAAAGCAGAATGATTACAATCACCTCAATGCCAAGGGTTGGATGTGTTCTTGTTTCCAATAGGTGCCATCACTCATGATCTGCTTGCCTCCATTGGGTGTATCTTTTTAAAAAAAATCATTTTATTGGGGCTCATACAATTCTTATCACAATCCATACATCCATTCATTGTGTCAAGCACATTTGTACTTTCGTTGCTCTCATCATTCTCAAAACATTTGCTCTCCACCTAAGCCCTTGGCATCAGCTCCTCATTTCCCTCCTCCCTCCCCGCTCTCC